CGTTGGAGGAGACGGCGGGCTTCTTGTTCTTCCGGCAGCCGCCGCCGACGGGGATGTTGCGGAGGGTGCCGCCCTTGGTCCAGTAGCGGCGGCAGGTCTTGCAGAAGTAGCGTGGCTGGGAGAGGCTGTAGTTGTTGTAGTAACAGAATTTGGTGTGCGTGGAGTCGCATCGTGGGCATTTCAGGGCTTGCTCCTGCTGCGGCCTCACCCTTCTGTCGCTCAGTGGCCTTGAGCACGACAGCATTTCCCCTGTCAGTGGTGAGCAATCCATTTCCATCCCACATTCCTCGCCCTGCACAAATTTCACTACACAATCTCACATATCATTCATTGTAACTACAAATTAAATGTGTAATCTGATGTATACCTGCAGCCAATCTGGTGAGTCCATGCCCACTTGGACAGAAGTCAGACCCATTAATCAACTTCAATTGAGGAGAATGAGAAGGTGTATAGAGGGATGTTTCTGTTTTGTAGTCACCCAAATTCAACACACTCTTCACAGTTACTCCATTTCTCTCCTTCGCTTCCTCTACTTATAAGATGGCCAACTCCATCTGTTCTAGAGATGTAGAGAGAGAAAGAGAGAGGACGMGTAAGAGGATTTTTGTCCAAGGATGAGAAAAAATATATATATTTAGGTTCTCGCYAGTGAGAATCTATCTTTTGTTCACTATCARYTGTCAATTTTGAATAGTGACGTTTTCATTTGGGTGGATTAGTGTTCTCATTTYCGATTTTGAAAACATAAGAGACTTAATAAGAATTTATAATAKGAGCAAGTTATTCTTCTCATTTCCAATTAGTTTTGAAATAGAACCCATGAATATTATTATGGTATCATACCCCAAAAGCTCAAATGAGCCTCCGGTCCAAAAATGAGATTCAAGRATGTCATTGTTGAGATGAATATCSATATTAATAACCGTCCAAATTTATACATCTGATTGGATATAGGTTCAAAATATCATAATTTTTTTCCTCACATGTTAAATGTGATGTATTTGAGAGTGACGGTAGAATTAATGATTTTGAAAAAAGAGATTTAATTATAATTGATTTTTCAAAATCACTATCCAAATGATATATTAAAAATTAATTTAAAGTGATTTTAAAYAGAAACAGAGCACGACGCTATTTAGCTATTTTATTGTAATAATTTTTGCATAGATGGATATATCGTCGGTGGCAAAAAAACACACACACGAGTGGGTCCCAACAGAACACAGAGTGTGGGGGCGACCCCACAAGAGGAAGACTAGAGAAATGCTGAGGTGTACTGATGGAGGGCTGCGATGCGAGGACGGGAAGGTGGGGACCGTGCGATGAGGCTGACGTGGAGGGGAAGAGGCAGATTGATGGTGGTGATGATGAGACGAGAATTTTTGGGTCGTCGTTAAAGAAAGCATCCCTAAAGAGCACTCCACTTGGGGGCCCAAAAACCCAGTGGGCCCCACTCCTCCTCCTCCCACAAGCAAAGCACAGATTCTTCAAAATAATATCCCAACGCATGCATGTCACGTGCCTCCCAATCTCACCACACTAATTCCATAATCCAAATCTTGCTTCTTCTTCTTCTTTTTCTTGTCCTTCTGCTCCTAGTCTACGAAAACTATACAATACCATTGTAGAAATGTGAAGTAGAGTAATTATAATGTTTTTAGAATAACATACGATGATCATCAGGACAATATAATTACAGCTTTGACTTAATGAAATATTAAGTAGATGCAAAGTGGGATTTTGGGTGGTGGGTGAGACATATTTTGTAAATGACACATAAATTAATTGAAATGTAAAGAGAGGGAGGGAATTAAAATGAGGAGCATGTGAGAGTAAGAGCTTGAGGAACACACTTGAAGGGGCAGAGGCCCACACACACAAGTCACTCTCAAACTTAAAAACAAAAGTGGACTCTGCGCCC